AAAAAAGAGACGCCAAGGTTGTGTTTTTGACTCTAAAGACTAATTATTTTTACTGACGATGACAATAATATACAATGAACGTCTCTAATGACAAAAGACGCACTGCTCATGCGTTTCTGGTAATATTCCTAGTTTTTCTCCCAATAGGTTCGCTTGTGTTATTAAAATACGCAGCAACGTGATAAAAATACAATTTCGCACAGTTCCCCTCCTTCAAAATGTGTACCCTAACCCAGAATTTCAACGGTAATTTGAAAATCGTTCATAAATGATCTCATTCTAAAGATGACCGCTGACCACGAAAGGGTATTCCCTAAAAACACGTTAAACACAAAACTATTAAGTTTTACTCAGGACTATAAATATAATGCACTATGGCTGCCGTCGCATCATCCAGATGGGGCTGCACATCAGTGGTGGTGGTGGTGGAGGGGACCTGTAAAGCACTTTGAGTGGAGTGTCCAGTGTACAGAACGGTGCCCCACAGATAGATTTCCTCCTGCTTTCCCATTCCTGAGAAAGAGAAAGCATGCATTTGTTTCAGTAGGTGCTAAAATGCTTTTTAAAGGAAGACTCTTACCTGGGCTGCATCTCAGCCTGGTTCTGCAGAAGCCTATCTGGGAGGCCACTGACATCGAGTGAGAGGAGCAGTAGAGTTGTTTAGACCACGTCTCCCCAGTCACAGAAACGAGTGCTGTATAGGAGGCTAGATAAAAGCTTGGTGGTGGTGCCATTACAGTCCTGTGACACAAGAACTCTGCCTCAGGGCCACTGCTTTCAACCACAGCAACCACATGCAGGGCCAGTGAAGTGCAAAATACTCCCCAAAAGCTCCAGGCCAGTTCCACACACTAGTGCTAGTGCTGTGCAGGATTCACAATTAAGAAGTCAAATTTACACTGTTGCACCCTACCACTCTTTCAAGGATTATGGATTTGAGTTAGTATGGTTAATGAATCTTAGAAACAGCTAATGTGAAACAAGGGGGCAGTTTATTCAAAGTGCTGATTTGCAACACCCCCTGACAACTGCAGATAAAG